ATTTTCCAGGGTTGTTCTTACTTAGAGGGGAGCTGGTTCTTTAAAGGGGTTAGAAATACTTCTTCCCTTCATTTAAATTTAAAGTCTGCAATCGGAGAAGCCACCAGCAGAACAGAAATATGGACATAATGCAGAAAGATTTGAAACTGGTTCAGGATTCAACTGAGCCCAAGAGCCATAATGCTCCTATACTGCTCCAACCCTAAGGGGCTTTGCAGCCTGGGGTTTGCTCTCAGTACACAATCCCAACTTTGATCTCCACACTCATTTTCTGTATGCAAAGCCAGGCCCAGCTCACAAACCTCAGATTATTTCAGTGTCCACTGGAGGATGCAAAGACAATGTTTATCTATTTGCAAAGTATCTCAAGCAACATGTAAATTTATCCCAGCACTCTATGGCTAGTAACAAGCCAGCATGCTTATAGCTCAAGCCTCCATAAGCCAGCTGCCAGGCAGCCTACAAATTACAAGTTTTCGGATATCCATAAAACATATCCTGTAGTGCAGTGCAAGAACTGCAAGTCCTGCTGTTGTGCAGGACTTTACCACGTTAAGTCTTTTCTCATGTCCTGGAAGAAATGGCCACTCCAGCAATTCTGAGGGCAACTGATTTCCATCTGAGTTAGCTACAGCAGTGTTCCTTCATCAAACAGAAATGAGCTTGAGCAACTGATTTTCTTTTGGGGAACCCAATGGGAAAGGCACTGCAGATGAAAGAAGAAATCGTGTTTCGAACTAATAACAGACTGAATGATAAAAATCAGCACTGTTCAAAGAAGAGTACTGATAACACGGAATTCCACCTGGGTTTTTAAAAGCCACATATATCACCTCATACAATCCCCTTCTCTTTAAAATTTAGACTCTCCAGGATAATGTTATTCCCTCCGGAGGAATACTGTATGAAGTATATGAGATAGGGAGGAGGAAGAGGAAGAAGGTTGGCAGTGGCTGGTAGGAGAGAATTGCTAGCACAGGCACCAAAAGAGAAAGCAATGCCCCTGGAGGACCCTGACAGCTTCTTTACATCTGGTCATAATTGAGCCTGCCCTGTCTCTAACATCTCCTGCCAACTGATATCAGCAGAACTGTCCCCGTCACAGAGAAATGCAATAATGCTAAATAGTCTAAAGTAATTCATGGCTTATACAGTTTTATTATTGATATTTAAGTAAACCATCTCTTCCTCTGGCGAGGAGTATCTCTAATTGATTTGAAATTGTGATAAACCTATTATTCAATCAACTCAGCTTTGCAAACTGAATTGATATCTGAAACCATTCCAAGAGATATAATGAGAATGCAGTAGCTACATATTTTAAAAGGGAGGAAAAGTAAACCATCTGTTTGCTTTTGTATAGTAATGTAAAACATATCCCTGCCATCTCTTTTGATTTCACCAGTGTGTTCCTTTGAAAAACAACACAGAAGAAAAATGCTTAGGCTATGGCAGGCTTTCATCGTACTCCCCAAATCTTAGTGCTCTTTTAAAGCAAATCATTACAATTCTATTCATCTTTTATGCCTGTAATTCAGAGTTTCAAGCGCAGTCTTGGATAGAAGGGCCATTTGGGACACAGATAAATTGATGAAACATTGGCTTTGTCTTTTAAGCATTTGAAAACGATGACATGCATTTTGCTATTCAAACAGTTCTAAAACTGTGCAGCAGCAGCGAACGAAAGCAGAACTGAGTAAACTCACATCTGAACAGTCATTTGTGACACAATTTTTTAATAATGCTTCATCAAAACTCCCCAAGTTTGCTATTAAAGCATCAGAGCAGACAGCTCCCACCTGATGTTGAACTGACTCTTGAAAACATGGCACAAAAAAAAAGGTTAATAGCTTCTGTATTACTTTCCTGGTGCTAACACTGCCCCACTGAGCCTGGTGAGCAGAATGGAGAAAACCCACGTTCACAGCTAACACCATTCATTTTCCATTCATGTTTCCATTATCAAGTCCAGTTTTTGAGGTTTAATAAGTCAGCAGTTCCAATTGCATGAGGCTGAGATTTGAAAACCAAGTTATCAGCAGAAAGGCACAGTTTGTGCTTATCTGCTTATCAACATCACTGTTCAAACCCACTCGGGTGGTGCTGAATAAGAGACCTAAAATCATCATCTGCATCTTCTTTTTCATGTGTCAGAGGGCTTCTGAACATCAAATTTTCCTCCGGGGAAAGCAACAACAGGTGTGTTTCAGTGGAAGTATTACTAATGCTGCCAGCCTCGCAAGCTTTGGGCTTATTCCCACTGCTCCCTATTTATTCAAACAGTCTCCAGTGAACTGAGTTATTAGTTCAGATGCACGCGCACCAACAGCAACAGTCTGGCAATTCAGAATGTACAAACTTCAGGGCCTGACTGTATCAAGAACCTAAAACAGACAAGGCTCATAAGAAACCCAATATAACTTCCTTGGGAATTCAAGGGGTGAAGTGTTTCTGTGCATCCTACCAGCACAGGGCTGGGCATCGAGGCCAGGACCAGAGCAAGAGGCCAGCAGCTGTTTGTGCAAAACCAGAAAATACACCTGCAAAAATAGCAGGGGATCCTTGATATCCCAAACACCCATTCCCCTATTGGACACAAAACAGGCCACTATTCCACTGTGGTTCTACTGATTACCAGACTGCCCAGCCTCAAAGGACAGTCTCTGTTCTCAGTATAAAAAAAAAAAAAAAAGAATTAATTTCATTCTGCCAGAGAAATGTTTCAAGTAACTGGAATTAAACACAAGCAGAAATATTTCCTCTGTTTTTTTTTCCCCTGCCCAAACATTTTCATGTAAAATACTGAGAAAAAGGCACTGTAGTTCCTAAGGACTGGAATTTTTAAAGCTGTGCATACAGGTCAGGTACACAGGCCTTGCAGAAATGCAACAACTTCCCTGGGTTATTTCTGAAATGCCTGCTCTGAACGAAGGCAGATATGGACATATTCTTAGATAGTTCAAGTCAACACAGGCCTTTCCCCTTGGATGAAACACCAGCTGAGGGTTGACAACTTTCATCTTTTCAAGTGTCAGAGTTTTGGCTTCTGCAAAAAGACAAAGTGCTGAACCCACCTGTGGAATGGAGAAAATGAATTCATTTGTCACAATAATGAAATCTCCGGCCCCAGAAATGCTTCTTTCTCTTCTACTCAAAACATTCCGTGACCCAAAGTTGTCTCAATGGGTCTGGCAGAAAAAGTTGGCATTCACAGCACGGTCTGTGCCTTGCCCAGATGGGAGCTGGCTTGGGATACGGAGGTCAGACATCTAGGGGAGCTTCATGCAGTTTTGTGTACGTTGTTTTATAGACAAAAGGCAGCACAAAAGCCTAGCACTATAGGTATAATGAACCTTTCCACACTGGAGCACCTGGATATAATCAGGAGTAAAGCTGAATTCAGAACGCTCTCTCTCAAGACAATCTAATTATACCAATAAAGAGAGAACAAAAGACTTCAATTCAGGGATTCATTTCTCCTTCTTCTATAATCACACCTTCTTTTGTTTTAGTCATGATTGTGAAAGCTAACAATGATGAAGCACCTCCAAATTGAGAAGATGAGCACATATAACTTGCTAGACTATCTTCAGCATGTTATGTAGTGTTCAATATTGATTTTGATTCAACTAGACTTCTATTAGAGTTATCTGTTCTAGCCAGCTGCCAAATATACCTGCTCAGTAATGTGTCCAAATTCATTAACAGTTTTGTTTTAATAATATTTCATTTTAAAGTTTAATTTTATCCACACATTAGCTTCGTATTACTTATGCAAATAAAAGCTTTATGGCTATATTAGCAATAATTCATTATCATTCCCTACTGGCTTAGTGAAGGAATTTGCAACTTTGGAGTACATCCAGAGCTTTTAATTGAAGATACTAAGGGAAGCCTACATTTAGTTAAAGTCGTTTGCACATAGAAATTAAATATGATTAGCGTAAGTCTCTAAAACTCTTTCCAGTCTCAAAGATAGATCGTGATTTTCCTTGAGCCCTGTCTGGATAGTGGTGTATTAACACAGAATCCAATGAGCATCTTAGGGGAAGGAGGCTACGGCTCTCACAGTTGGCATCTGAGGTAGGAGAGCAATCTGCTTATTGGAAGTTACCTCCACCTTCACTGTTTTGGCAGAGGTAACACTTGTCCCTTCCTCACACGTTTAGCTCACATTACGTCTAAGCAGAGGGTGAAAGGAAGGCAGTAGCTCTACCCATAGCAATTTCCTTTCTGGGTACTCAGAGCAATAAGTGCTAACATGAAGGCAAGGAATCGTTAGGGTTGTGTGTCAGCATATGAAACCGGCTGTGCTTTCCTTCTGGGAGAGGGATGCATCGTGGTGCAACTTGATTCATTTGTGTTGCTTTACACATCAAAACCAGCCCCACAGGGGGAACTTACAATAACTATAGATATACAGAGCACTACAGACACATAGAATTGACAGCACTTAAATGCAGTGTCTCTCCTTGGAGGGGAGAGAGCTCTCTGCAGCTGCCCAAAAAGAGTTTGAGGTGAGGTGGGTGTCAGCCTATGCACCCAGGTAGCAGCAATAGGATGAGAGGTGATGGGCCTTAAAGTGCACCAGAAGAGGTTCACGTTGGATGTTAGGAAACATTTCTTCTCCAAAAGAGCATTGCTGCAGTGGCACAGCTGCCCAGGGAGGTGGTGGGGGCACTGGAGGTGTTGAAGGAAAGGAAACGTGCTGAGGGACATGGTTAGTGAGCAATATGGGTGGTAGGTGGAGAATTGGACTTAGAGGTTTTTTCTAACCCTTAATGATCCTAGGATCTGTCACGTATCACCAAGGCAGTCTTACAGGGTCAGTCTTCTGTTCCAAGTATTTGCATCTCCATTTCAGTGTTGGAGGACTGGACTCTCAGGAGGTCCTTCCCACTTCGTTTCCAGTGGTGTTTTTTATCTCAAAAACTTACAAAGGAAATTGCATTCAGCACACTCCTGTCTTTGTGCTCCAAATGAGCTCTTGCACAACAAACTGACTCATGTTTACTTTATTATGTCCCAAGTCACAGAAGGACTGTAGGTATCTTCCCCATCTCCTAGAGAAGAAGATGTTTTAATTAGCCAATTATATTAGTAAAAAGCAATCTAATTTCTAGGCCAAACAATAGCGTGGCACAGATATTAAAATCAAATTAGCAAGGCATACCAGGGTTTTCCTCCAGCATGCAAAGGCGACCTCCTGCACAGATAATGAGCATTATGTCTGCATGGTGATCTGTGGCAGTGAAATACACAAACAGTGGTGAGTAATGAACACGGTAACAGGTTTGAGAGTTTCTCTCCACTGTCTCTCTCCAAATTTAATCTAGCTTAGCAGTAATCACGGTGTGTCCTTTGCAAAATATGCACTGTGCCAGCTTGTTCCTCATTCACAGCAGCAAGTTTTTTGCTCAAAGCAGAGACTTCACGTTTTGGATCCAGGATGATGGGTACTTTTGATTGCCAACTAGTGAAAGCTGAAAGGAATCTTTCAAAATTGTGCCCAGAATTCACCTTCGGTGATGGGAACAGAATGAAAATGACTTTGTTTGGGGAGTAAAAGCAGGTATTTACTAAACAACAAGCTGCTTTGAAAACACATGTTTCCACCTTCCCCAAAGAAAGCAAAGAGAAGCCCATTGCTGGCTGCCTCATGCCAGCAATCCACGCACCAGCTGTGCTCCCTGACAACAGCAAAGTGATTCTCTCTGAAAAGCATCGTGGATTTGTCTGAATAAGACATTTATCCCTCAAAGGCCAGTGTGGTAGAGCACTCGTTTTGGAAAAGCTAACAGATCGATCCTGCTTAACCCCTACACTCAGAATCTTTATTACAACCCTTCACAGATTCTGAGGTGTAAAACCACCTCTAAGCAAAACAATAACAAAGTCTGCCAGGCAGGGAAACGGATGGAGTGGAAGAAATGCATTAGCACAACAGCTGCAGCAGGGATTGCCTGAGCTGAGCTCCTGAGCCCATTTCTGCAGCACACCACATGTCTCATTAGCTCCAGCCCTAAAGTAGGGTTGGGCTCAGAGCTGGAGTAATTGTTCCCCTAACAGCATGTGGCAGCCCAGCAACACCCAGCATCAGTGCTGACACTGTTCTAACCTGCTCTCATGTATAAAGTGAAAAATTCCCCTACGTGAAATGGTAGCTTTTATGGGTGTAGCATCTCCACGTTTCTGAAAACAAACGTCATCTCTGCTGTAAATTGATGTCAGAGGACTGGGGGGCTGCTGTGCTTCCCTGGCTGTTTGGTGTTGGTACTTCTGGCTGGATTTGTTGCACTGCTAAACTGAGAGTGTTTACAATCAAAAAGAAAGGCAAAGGAAACACAAAGGAATCCCTGCCATTCTGATGCATCTGCACTCAGTGTTGATGGTTATCTTCTGAAGTTAATGGATCTCTGCATATTGTGCTCTGCCTAAAAGAGCATAAGGTCCTTCTATAATTTCTCAATCCAGAATTCCTTCCCCTCACATGGGACAACTACCTGCTACCCCATAACAAACAGAACCAGTACCACACCTTCCATGAGTTGAACTAAAAACTCAATTCTCTACATGCTTCTTGTCAAAAATGCATAGAGAAATACTTGACTTTTGAAACTGCTGAAATTCAAACCTAGGTCCCTTCCAATCCAAGCCATTCTATGTTTCTATGGCCCCAGGACTTGCTGCAGTTGCTACTGCTAAACATTTTCTTAACTGTCCACGTCCAACCAGGGATTAACGCCAGTTTCTTACATCTTCTGAAGACCACGATGTTTCTTCTGTCTGTTGGAGACCACGTCAGTACGTTATTTCTTTCACCATTTGCTCCTTACAGTAAATAAGATATTCTGAAATCGCAGCTGAATAATTCTGCAGAACTTCTGGTGCAGGGGATGTGCCTGTCAGCCCTCCTTCAGCCACGTGGTGTTATTTGTGCACTCAGAATCCTCTGTTCCACGAGGTCACCCTCTGTTATGCCTCATTTTCTTTCTTGTCATCTTTGCTCCTCCTTCAAGTCAGAATGGAATCAGATACGTCAGGCCTGGACTCTGTAATTACTTAAACTAATGCTTGCACATGGGAAAGGCTGCCATGGGAAGTGACAATTCCTGACTGCATAAACACTGTTTCTGATGCAACAAAATAGCATTTGGAAGCATTATGGATGGGTGTTCCCAACATTTTGGTACCCACAGATCCCCCAACCCACCAGCTGGAATGTATTTGCTCACCAATCCTCACAAACCCCCAGTTAATTTGACCACCAGGGCAACTTTGCTACAAACACCTGCAGCACCTCCATCACTTCCTCAGGATGCATTGCTCCTGAGCTTAGAGAAGGTGATCCTTGGACATTAACCAGCTTTCTTGGGCCCCTGCTTCCCTCCAGATCCCTTTCATATGGGATTCTACTGCACAGATCCTTGATAATGCCAAAGTCTGTTGTGAAGTACAAGAGAGGAGACTTCAGACAGTCCCCTTAGAACAAGGCTGGATGACTAACACAGTGAGGAGTCCGTAAAATCACATCCATGGCACTTGGCAGCTACCCAAGTACTCACAGCTAAACTTTATCTTCCATAATAGCACTTTTTTCCTTGCAATGTGACCAGGCCTTCAAACTGATGGCAAAGCAAGGAATTGTAGAACAGCAAGCACACACTGCTGCTCATGTCAGCTTTTCCTCCAACAGAACCCCACATCCTTCACCACAGGGCTGCTCTCAGGGAGTTCTTCTGCCAGTCTGTGTTCATATCTGGGATTCCCCCAAAGAAAAGAATTAGTTTGACACTCTCAGGCTTCTGCAGCACAGCCAGCAGCAGGGATGGTAATACAGAAGCAAAGAACATACTGAGATCACAACGTCCAGATCCAGTTTGTGAAAGCTCCAACCATTTGTGAATTCTCCATAATCTAAGATCTAGCACCATGGTTTAGGAATGAACTTCCCTCCCCCACTGTTTAGCTACAGAGGGTTTGAGTAAAGAATGCTAAATTACATGCAAGTCACATTAAGAACAATCAGACTCATGTAATAGGGAATCTAATAGTTCATAAATGAGATGCAAATTCATTTTTACGGGTGCACTATAATAAGCCAATTATTTCAGAGCTCTTCAATTATGCGTTTTCAAAAAGCTGAATTGCTTTATATTTTTTTTTTTTACTTTTTTAAGAAGCTTTAGGTTTTTCCATAGCTTACAAGGGAATGAAAATGTATCTGCCTTGCAAGCAACACCAATAAAACACCAAACCACCCCCAAAACCATGCCAAGCTTCGTGCAAGGAGCAACACAGACAGAAAAGAATAAGCCTGCTGGAAAACTGCACTCATAGCAAACATGCAGACAGTGGACCTCTCTGTTCCCATCAATTAAAGACGTTGAGGAACCCATCCTATAGCAGGCTGGCACAGGTATCACCACGTGTGAGGTTAGATTAGGGAATCTCCACATCAGCAATAACACAACATGTCTGTGCACAGGATTGGCATTGAGCTCATTGGCAATAACTTACTGCCCTCAAAGTAGCCCTTGGGACTTCTGGGACTCACATCCTGTAATGAGATGGTTTTCCTTTAGAAAAGGAATCAACAACTGGATACCCTTCCCAAAACCTCTGCGCTGTTTTTCTTCTTGGAAATTGGGGACAGAAGAATGCAGGCACTGGTTTGGTCAGGAAAAAACTAACCTGAATGACTGTGCAAAGGCAAAGCATTCTCACTTGTACGTGACTTGCAAAAGAAGTAAAATTGCACAAGAACCCAGCCAGATTCTTTGTAGCCTGTATGATAACATCTTTTGATGCTGATATTATTGATATTGTGGCCCCAAGAACAAGGAATTCTGCTAATACAGATATCCTACCTGCAACAAAGCAGCACAGCTGGAAAACTTAGACATGCTTTCAGGCACATTGGCTCTTCTACTCAAGTCTGAAAGAAAAGAAGCAGACTTAAAATTCGCACTGCACTGTTCTTCAGTTGCATTTAGTTTTGAACAATGCTGTTTTTATTTCAGAATTTAAGTAGGGTTGCACTCCTGGAACATACCAGGCAGTTTAAGTTTCTACTTAGGAGCCTTCTCTGGAGGATTTACCATCCAAGAGATTTAGGCACGGGCTTTCCCACCAGCACAGATTTTGCTGTTTAAAGCCCTATGGCATGATAATGATAAAAGCAGAACGTCTGGTTTTCCTCCTCCCTTTCACCCTCATTGTGAGCCTCTCCCAGTTTTGCTGCCAGGCCCAGTTGAGCACAGCTCAGTCCAACACCTCTGACCAATCTCCTCGGACAGAACATCCCAGCAGACTCTGTTTCTGAGCAGAAGCAGAAGAAGCAATAAAGATAAATTACAGCGCGGCATTTTACACTGTTTAGATTTTCTAGAGGCAATACAAAATTGACGTTCAGATTTAGAACTAATTGTTTAGCTTGGAAAACAATTTTTTGACCAACGCTCAGAACAAAGCGCATCAGAGTTTGAACACATTCCCGTGTAAATCTGCCTGAACTCTTTGCAACTGGAAAACGATCCTCATTTTAATAAACTGATTCAAACAAGGAAATGTATATAACAAATACTGTGAAGTGTCTGACATCTGGCTGCCCCAGGCATGCAGACACCCAAGGTCAGGCTGGAGGGGCTCTAGCATCTGATGGAGCTGTGGGTGTTCCTGTGCAGTGCAAAGAGTGGCACCAGATGGCCTTCATGGGTCCTTCCCAACTCAAAGAAGCCTACGATTCTATCATCTGGATCAGAACTTCTGTGACTACAGGCTGTCAGGTCAGAGGTTGCTTTTATGAAGAATGTTCCTTTTAGCAGAGCTATCTATAAACACAGCCTCCAAATCAGCAGCCAGTTGACCTTCTGGACAGAATAATTTTGATGGTATTCTGGGCTTATAATGCTGTAAACCATATTGTGAATACATACATCTTAGGTAAGAAGCTTAATAATAAATTAGTTTTTTGTTTTTTTTCATTCAGCTGAAAGGCAACGCAAGCCATAGCTTTATTTACAAAAGGTTAAACATTTCTTTAATTGGATTGCTGGCATTTAAGTGTGCAGCAGAATATTCTTCAGCAGTGTCCCTTTTATTTGTGACTGGAGAAGTGCCTAGAGAAATGCCAAGGGAAGATTTCATTTTAATAAAAAAGAGAAGCTTAAGATCCCTTTGGAGGCTTATGTTACATCTCAAAACTACCATGAACTAATGAATTTAATCTAAAAGGTCCCCAACCACAGAACCGAAGAGAAATTACAAGACTGGCTTAGCTTGACCAAGCTGTGCATGTCAGCAGTTGTATCTCAGTGCTTACATCCTGTAAAGAATACCAACATAGTCATTTGAAATACATCTTAAAATGAGCAATATGGTTGAGCTACAGCATTCTAATGACACTTCTAAGAACCACTCACGTCAGAGGCTTGCAAGCTGAGTAAAAGGAAAAGCTGCTCCTTCCTCCTCCCACGAGTCAACGCTTTGGAAGAGATCGCATGCCAAAAAATTCTGCTGCCTGGAAGAAAAACAGCCCCTCGTTGGCTCATATTGGGGTCAAGCTGAGGACCCAATTCTGCATGGTGCTGGAATCTGAGCACACTCAGCCCTCCTTGGCTGAGTTATTATCTCACACTTGTTATGCGCACAGTATGGAAGTCTCCTGGGAGAGTGGCTAATGTACACTTTGCCTCCCTAGAAAGCAGGGTGGGAATTTATGAGGAAAGAAAATCAGGCCTATAAATTACACAGAGGACCTTTAAGTGGAGGTATAAGTTTCATTACTGGAGCACGTTACTGGATGGTCAAAATTAAAAACAGCTTCTAGAAAGGGGATTGCATTTAACTTTCCATTTGGGGGAAAAGAAGAAGGGAAACAATTTCAAACACAACCTTGATTAACTGGACAAATTACAAACGATGACACCAAGTTTGCACTGATACAGTAAGTGAGCAGCATGCAAGTTATCCACTGTCAGGTATTTCTAGTTTAACATCTCATTTTGCCCTCTGAAATGTGGTAATTAGAACATTACCTTCATAATACTGATGCATTTAAGAGACAGAATCCACCTGGAATATATTTTTAGTAATGTCTTAGAATGTATGAGTCTCTAATCCCTGTGCAATGGTTGAGCTCCAGCTGCAGAGGCCAAGGAGAGGTGATCAGAACATGAACAAGGAAACTCCTACATCAAGGTAGGATTGCCTAACTCTTCTAGCAAAGAGCAGAGCAGCAGCCTTCCCCAGCTACAAACCATCTTGGAGTCTTGCACTCAAACCTCTAAACCTGTATCAGCCCCTATGTGGGAAGGACCCTCCAGAGATGAGGTTCTGCCCCCCACTTTACCTACTGCCTGAAGTATTTAAAGGAAGATGAAACACAGATCAGAGGCCATTTGTTTTCTCACCAGATACCCATCCTCCCACAAACGCAAAACAACCCAAGGAAAAATTTCCTGTCTCCCAAATCTCCAAGTATGGCTCTACTGTTTGAAGTAACAACTCCCAGTGCTGAGATATGACGAGCTCATTTTATGAAAAAGTGAGTAGCACACCTTTGTGGTGCTACAAAAAGATGGAGAAAGGACTATAAATACTCTTAACAACTTAGAAAAACAGGAGGCAAATCAAAACAATCCATGACTGCATTAAATCAATAGTCCTCGATGTTTAAGTCACTAATGCAAGTTTTAAGAATTTCCAGTTGCAGCCCTCAGCTTTCCAATTCTATTCTCATCCTGAAAGAGTGGAAGTCTCACCAGCTCCAGAATAAAGACATAAGTTTATTTCCACACAGACCTTCAAACAGAACTGCTGACAGACAGTTCTTATTGGAATGGAAGAATCCATATTCATACAAAACACTTCACATTCTTGTTTGCATTCCAACACGCCGTCCCTTGAGAAACATCAGGAGAAAGGAAAAAAAAAATAATTCTTAAAACTTTGGAATGATGACATCTCACTCCAAAATGTCAACTGTTTTAAATCACAGCTCCGATGTTTAGAACAGCTTAAGACAAAAGTAAAATGCCTCACTGAATGTTAGCCAAGCATTCTTTAAGCCTCCAAAAAATGGATCTTTTTCCTTAATTATTTT